TGAGATCCTCTTCATTGTCTGAGGGGGTTGTCCCTTCGTCACATGGGGCTTCAGCTTTTCCTTTTGCATATTATTTTTTGTAGCAGAAACCAAAATGATTGTCATGCTTTAACAGCTTGCGTAGTCTATTATGGACTACTTTACTAGCTGAGACCAGATTTTCAAAGATTTCCTTTTTTTTTTCTACTTTATTTTGAATAGGCTGATGCTTGCCATTAATCTTGCTCCAGTGGATACTATCGAGATTTCTTTGGAAAAGCCATATGTCCATGTCTTCCTCATCTCTATCATTCTGTCAATGGTCTGGAGTAAAACCTTGAATCCTAGAGCTCGACTTTCTTGGATGAACTCGATCCCACATAGAGACTTTTCAAAGTCTTGAAAATTTTGATCTTTATTCGCTTCTACCTTGATTTTCTTGGACTGGATTCCAATTTGAACTATATGATGACTGGGGAAGTATTTAGATTTCTCCCATTCTGGTGTTGCAAAGTAGATTTTGACAAATACTACCCTTTGAGCTTTCGTGCCAGTTTTGAAGTCTGTCACTCCTTGGCGTATAACTCTTGGAAGTTTTGAAACTTCTTCATTATCCTTTGAGAGATAAATACAATTTACAAAATCATAATTAAATAACTCTTTTATTGCTTTTGGGTTTGCACCCTACATGAAATTAATTCTGGGATAGATCCCTTCAAAGATAAGAACTTCCCTACAACCAAAACTTCATCACAAACCATAGATATTGCCCAAAACTTCATCATATTATAAAAGAACAATGATTGGTACACACTTCGGTTCAACACAAACACAATGCATGACACACTCATTAAAAAATTATTATTTTTTAGTCTAAAATTAAAGACAAATAAGTTTAATGATATAATTATGCACATAAGATATATGAACCGCACTACTAGAAAAATGACGTATACGGACCGATCATATACGGACCGAATAGTGTCGGTCTGAACACAAAAATATACGGACCGATATCGGT